CTGGGTTTGTGTCTGTCAGGTCTTGCTTCAGTTTTTGTAGCTTTAAAACCAGCACCGAGTCTTGTGATAAAAGGTGCACTTAGTGGAATGTTCTTTTCCTGTGGTTCAGCAATGGGATTCCTTAGGGTGTTCCCAAAGACTAAAGGTATTTCCAGCTAAGGTCACTGATGATCCTTTAAATTTCTACAGTGCAGCTTTGCTGCTGTGGTTTTTAGGCTTGTATTTACCTAATCTCTGCCCAAAAGTGCTGGTAATGAGTAGCTTGGGTTCTACTGGACTGGGCTTAAAGTTTATCTTGAAGATCACCTGTTCTTCAAAATCCAGGTGCCTCAAACATCCCGTTTGCTTTCCAGAGTTCTGGTGGCTCCAGGGAGCATTGGTTCCTCATCCCTGCTGCATTTAAAAGGCAGTGGCAGCTTGGGATGTTGGTCCAGTCTGAACTTTGTGGGAAGCACTCCCTTCACTCTCCATATCAACAATTTATAAGATCAAAATCCACTGTATTACTGTATTAATTGTAAAATTGTCATGCCGAAAGAGCTCAAAGAAGGGCAGTTGATATGGAGAGACTGGAGCTTCTGCTGGCAGGTCTTTGCTCTTCCCTGGTCTTCTCAGGGTGTTGGGAAACGAAAGTCCCAGCTGTCAGTGAGCCCCTGCTTTGGCTACATTTCCCAATCCTGTGTCCCTGGATGGAGCAGCACCGGGGGTCACTGAACCCTCCTGGGCTCAAAGTGCACTGCTGGCCCCCATTCCAGTCGTCATTCCAGGTCAAAGAGCCACTTCTTTCCCTCCTGTCAGACAGGCACAAGCTTCCACATCATCCAAAAACAACGGGGCTTTTGAACTGTCTTCTGTACAACTTCAACAATACAGGTGTGGGAGGTTCAAATCCCATTGGCCCAGCAGCAGGAGCAGAGTGGGAATATCTGGAATGAGCACTACAGGGCGCTTTTCTCCTTAGGGTTTCACAGTGGAACACTAGGATATCTCCTGGACAGTGTGCCTGGTGGTGACAGCTTCCTGTGTCAATCCTTGCAGACACCTTCCAATAGAACCTTGTCTGAAGGCTTCCCCCACCTTCTAAAGGGGATGGGTGTTTCCATACCCTGCTTTGGGAACATGGAAGCTCGTGCTGTCTGGTTTGCCCCAAGGGCCTGAGAGCCGGTGTGGGAGCTGATGGGATGGAGCACTGGGAGTGTCCCATGGCTACCCAGGTGATGAGTCCTGCTCCCTGCACTGTGCTGGCTTTCTGACTGCTGTAGGAAGCACCACTTGGAGATTCTGTGGGAGGAGGTGTCAGGCTGTAAATCAGGGATTCTGCCCGCTGCAAACCAGTTGGAATTAAGGGGTGGAGTTAAGGAACTGATAACCAGCCACTGAAAGTCTGAAACTTTCCTCTCTCTCCTGTTCCCAGAGCAGCTTTCGAGCTTGACTCCTAAAGACTGTCCCCACCTCCTCCTGCAGGCGATATCGGGGCCACTTGCAGCCGCAACAGCTTCCACACTCACCAACCCCATGGATGTGGTCAGGGCTCGGGTCCAGGTGAGAGCTCAGCCTGCCTGGCGTGTCTGTGGGGTGGGGCTCAGCCTTGGCTCTCTGATCCCTGTGGTTTCAGCTGAGCTGCTCCCCTGCTCTCCCTGGGCCTTTCATCCTGGGTATCACCCACTTAATTAGTTCTCAGTGGGAGCAGGAGATCCCAGGGAGTGGGGCTGGCGGGGCCGGCCTGGCCTGCTCCCATGGGCTTTCCCTGTGGAAAGGGTGTTGGAGTTGGCACCTCTGTACTCTCCAGAGTCTTCAGCTGCAGCAGAGCCCCAGCATGGGGTCTGGCAGCTCTGTGAGTGTCTGTTCTGGCATTGCAGGTGGAAGGCAAGAGCTCCATCATCCTCACCTTCAAGCAGCTGATTGCAGAGGAGGGTCCCTGGGGGCTGACTAAAGGCCTCTCCGCCCGCATCATCTCAGCCACTCCCTCCACCATCGTCATCGTGGTGGGGTACGAGACGCTGAAGAAGCTGAGCCTCCGCCCGGAGCTGGTGGACTCGAGGCACTGGTAGAGGCAGCTGGTGGGAGAGAACCTTCCTGTGAAGCCCCTGAGCTCGGACTGTCACGGTGGAGAGCCCAGGAGGAGACGCAGCTGCTGTGCCTTTGTCTCTGGCTGGTGTCGCAGCACAAGGCAGACGCAGGAGCAACTGCACTTCACCTCTTTAGGTCTGAGCGTCACACAAGTCTCTGCTGCTGGTTTTGATTAAAACCATCAAACTGTGACCTTTGGCAGCGCTGTTTGCCTGGGACGGTCCATTCCAGGTGTGTGTGAACACATCCTGGCAGGTTATTAATTCCTTTTTTTTTTTTTTTTAATTAAAGACTTACTGGCTGAACAAAAAGCCAGTTTATTCTCTTTAAATTATTTTAATCTTTGCCAAACTTCTGAGGAGGGGAGTCTTGACAGCTTGCAGCAGGGTCCTCCGGTGGGATTGCTCTGGTGGCAGTTGTGCTGTGGAAAGGTGGAAGCAGAGAATAGACAAATGAATTTCTTCAATTACCCACATTTATTTCTAGAAGATGTGAGACGAGAGTAACCCGGAACCGCTTCAGACCTGATTTCCTGCGTTTTGAATAGATCTGTACATACTTGTTTTGTATGTTCTTGGAAAATGTTCCCTGTCTCTCATCCTCCAAACAGCGAGCTGGCCGAAGGCGAGTCAGGAGCTGAGCTGGCTGTTTGGAATTAGCTGATGGCGGTTTTGACACCTAACCCGTGTTTTTAATCTGTTGATATTTAATTTTTTTTTATTATTATTATTTTAGGGAAGTTTATTCTGATTTCTTGGGGAACTGAGTGGTTGTCCTGTGGCCTTGTTCGATGTGTCAATCCTGCATGTTCAGGGTGGCTGTGGCCACTTCCCACCTTTAGTTAGTTTAAGCACAAAGAAATACAGTTTGGAAGTGTCCAATTGTGGTGCTACCAGCAGCTGGATGAGAACTAAATGTGGTTTGAGCTACAACTGGATGCAAGGTGGGGAAGGAAAAACCTTGTGCTGGCTTTTGATCCAGTTCAAACCTGACTGGTATGTTCATATTGAATAAGAAGTGATGGTTCGCTAATACTTTGAGAGTTTAAATCCTGCTCATCCTGTTTGGGAAGGGCAAGGACAATGCTTTGCACACTTGCTGGATCAGAATCCTGAGCTATGGTCTGTGTATTTTACCAGGTAAAAGCTTCTGGGGGGTTAAAACCCGAGGCTGCTCTTCGGGGAGGGGGAGGGAAGGGGTTGTTTGGCTGCACTGTGCTGCTCTGGGTGGTTGGGATTTGCCTCTCGTGCTGCCAGCCCACGCGTGGTGCGTGTCCCGAGGGTGAGGGATGCGCCTCTGGGTCACAGACACGCACCACCTCCATTCCTCTGGCTGCCCTGACCAGGAATTCTGGTCGAGGTGTCGATCCTGCTGACCTGTGGCTGCTGCTGGGCTCCTCTGGGCTGTCCCTTCCCCTGGGAACTCGCTGGGTGTGGCTCTGCCCTTCGTCCGACGTCGCAGTTCTGCCCGGCAGGGACTGCACTTGCCACCGTGTCTGCTGGGGGTGGAACGAGTGCTGAGGTGGGAGAGGCTTCTCTGCTGAAGGACAGAACTCATTTCTGAGGTGCAGCACTGTGATGGGGCTTCGGGTGAGTCATCAAAGGCTTCTCCATCCCACCTTTGTGTCCTGCAGTGCTCAGTGAGGCAGCAGGTGCCGGAGCTGCCGCCAAAGCTGTTGGAGCAGCACCTTCTGCACCTGCCCCGTCACCTGTTTGGTGGTTAAAAGTTGACACCAGCCAGCCCTTGCTGTAATAGGAGATTCTGCTCTGCAAAGCAGAACAGCAGCACCCCAGCTCGCAGGGAGGGACCCGAGGGGACGGTGTCCCCATTCTCACAGCGCAGCGGGACTAACAACGATGTCAACAGGAACAATGACGGCCCCTGCCAAGGGCAGCGGGGCCAGGCCTGGGGTGTGGTGTGGAGGGGCAGCAGCACCAGCGTGGGGAGACACTCGTGAGCTTAATGTTTCTCTCGTAACCAGCAAAGATCTTGACAACTAATAAACTTCTGAGACCCGAGTCTGAGTTTAGAAGTGTGTGAGTGCTTGTGCCAGGGGAGGCTCTGCTGCTTTCTGTTGTGTCACAGCTGTGCTTGCTTGGGTTTCGCCCTCTGCCTTTGGAGTAGGACTAGAAGGAACCTGACCTGCCTGAGAAAGCAGTGACAGCGGCTGCACAGTGGAAAAAGAGACCAGAGCACATGGAGTGCCTGAAACATCAGTTCAGACACTGCCCCTGACGACACAGGGTTGGTTCTGGTTGGCTCTTGCAAAGGGAAATGTCACTTTTCCCTCTCTCTCTCTCCAGGCTGAACTTGGTTACTTCTCCTGAATTCTTCAGGCTTGATCATTTTAAATCAACAGATTGAGTACCAGGGGCAGAGAGAGGGGATGTTTCCAGGGGTGGTGGGAGAGAGAGGAGGGGTTTACTGCTCCGGTTCAGGGCCCGGCACTGGAAGGAGGTTGTAGCCAGGTGGGGGTCGGTGTCTTCTCCCAGGCAACCAGCAGTAGGACGAGAGGGCACAGCCTTAAGCTGTGCCCAGGGAGGTTCAGGTCGGACATCAGGAAGAAATTCTTTACATAGAGAGTGACCAGACATTGGCATGGGCTGCCCGGGGAGGTGGCAGAGTCCCTGTCCCTGGAGGTGTTTAAGAACGGACTGGATGTGGCACTCGGTGCCACGGTCTCGTTGACAAGGTGGTGTTAGGTCAAAGGCTGGACTTGATGAACTCAGAGGCCGTCTCCAGGCTCAGTGATTCTGTGATTTTGTGATTTTATGGGGGTGGTTTTTGTCACGTTTTGTATTTGAGCCGGTGGGGCCGGGGGTGGGGAGGTCCCGCCCACTGTCTCTGGCCCCGCCCACCGGTCAGAAACCCCGCCCCCTGCCCCTTCCCGCGCTGGCAGCCGGCGGGGGCGGGGCCCCGCGCCCCGACCAATGGGAGCGGCGGGCGCGGCTGCGGCAGCCAATGGGCGGTGGCGGCGCGAGAGCGTGGCCATGGCGGCGGCGGGCGGCGATGGCGGCGCGGGGGCGGCTGAGGCGGCTGAGGCAGAGGGTGGTGGCGGCGCCGGCCCCGCCGTGCCCGCGGCCCCGAGCCGCGCACAGGTGTTCTCCACCGTGGTGGACACGTTCCTGGAGAAGCTGGTGACCGCCGGGAGGTGAGGCGGGAGCGGCGGAGGGCCGGGAGGCGCCTGCCGGGACTCCGGCCCTACCCTGACCCCCCCCCGCTCTTGCAGCTACCAGAGGTTCGCCAGCTGCTACCGCTGCTTCTACAAGCTGCAGCCCCAGCTGACCAGGAGCATCTACGATCAGTTCATCTCCCAGCTGCAGTCGTCCATCAAGGTGAAGGGGGGAGCGGGCCCGGGGGGGCTTCAAACTGCCTGTGAAAAAAGCGCTGAACGCGCTGGTTTTAAAGGAAAGAAATGCGTTTCTTGAATGGCAGAAGCAGAAAGCTGAGGCAGCTCCCCAAACTTCTCTGTCTTCCCCGGAAAGAGCTGGGGAATCGATCAGATTGGAAAAGAGCCTGAAGACCATTAGGTTCAACTGCCAGGGTCATCACCCGTGTCCCCAAGTACCACATCCACACGTCTATTAAACACCTTCAGGAATGGAGAGTCAATCCCTGGTGGTTCCCAGGATGGAGCCTTCATCCAGGGCAAAGCTGGAGAGACTTTGAACAAGGGCTGGGAGTGCCAGGACAAGGGGGAATGGTTCCCACTGCCAGAGGGCAGCATTAGATGGGATATTGGAAAGAAATCATCCCCTGTGAGGGTAGTGAGGCCCTGGCACAGGTTACCCAGAGAAGGTGTGGCTGCCCCATCCCTGGGAGTGTCCAAGGCCAGGTTGGACGGGGCTTGGAGCAGCCTGGGCTAGTGGAAGATGTCCCTGCCCGGAGCAGGGGGTGGAACTGGGTGAGCTTTCAGGTTCCTTCCAACCCAGACCATTCCCTGGTTCCGTGCCAGCGAGGGCTCACAAGTGGTGCCTGTGTTTGGGTCCTGCTGAATGTCCCTCATGTCCTTCCTTGGCAGGAGGAGATCCAGGAGGTAAAAAACGAAGGGAATCTGGAGGGGCTCTTTAACTCACTGGACAAGATCGTGGAGGAGGCGAAGGACCGGGAGGAGCCGGCGTGGTACGGGCGGGGAGCAGAGGGATCCGTGTGCCATCAGGGGCTCCTGGGTGACATTTGGGCGCTGCAGGGAGTGCCTGAAACCTGCTGAATCTCTGCAGCAACATCACTGCGCCTAAAACACCCAAAAACCAGTTAAATCTGTGCCTCTCTGGGTCAGAGATGCACCTCTGTGCCTTTCCTCAGCACAGGGAGGTCAGTGCCTCTGGGGAAAACCCAGTTCTGGCTGGTCCCAAGGGCTGATGGGATGTTTTGGGCTCAGCTCCTGCCCAACAGCAGAGCTGCCCTGGGCCTTGGTGGGTGCTGCAGATGCCACCCTGGAAATGGGCTGGGGCTGTGAATCAGCAACATCAGGGGTTTGTGTTTCTGCTGGGGAGGTGAATCCCATCCTGCCTGCTCCAGGCCTCTGCTCCTGGCTGGGTTTGGGTTCCCTCCCAGGGGGTTCCCACTCGGGCTGTCCTTGGCTTCCAGTGCTGGAGGAGCCGAGGAGCTGCTCCGGTCTGGCAGTGGGTCAGATCAGGGTGGGGATGCTCTGCTGGGTGGGATCACTACTTCCAGCTGCTCCAGGAGCCGGTGTGTCCCCAGGCGCCCCAGCGGGATCCCGGAGGAGGACGTGCGGAGTGCCCTGCTGCCCTACCTGCTGAAGCACCGCTCCTACCTGCGCAAGGTGCTCAGGGAGAAGGAGGAGGAGAACAGGAAGGTGGCCAAGTCCGTACTGGCAGGAAGGGACAGGATTGCAGAGCTGCAGCAGCTCATCCAGGCTCGCAAACAAGCCTGGCAGGTAAAAACACATAAAACCCTTCTCCTCACGGCACCAGCCCAGAGGAGGCTCGATGGTGCCTGGCTGGTGAATGACATTTAAGCCCTCCAAGGCCTTCCCAGCAGCCAAGTCCTGCTGAAACTGGAGGCCTGGGCCTTTGCTTTGGACATCTCAGGGGCTTTTCCCTTTGTGCTGGGTGGGATGCGGGCTGTTCCCACCAGAGAGGAGGGGCTTGTGTTCTGTGTGTACAGGGGACGGCAGTGTGTGTGACACACTCAACCCTGGGCATGGCACCCTCCTGCTGAGCTCTGTGTGTTGTTTCCCTTCCAGGCGATTGGTAAAGAGCAGCGAGAGCTCATCATGACATTCCAGGAGCCCCAGTGAGGCTGTGGGGAGTCCCCCAGGTGGGGTGTGCTCAGCCCCCCCAGCTCAGAACTGCCCCGTCAGGCCACTGCCCTGGGACTGGAAGAACTGCCAGACTGGCACAGTCTGATCAGATTTGGTAAAGAAACAAAAAAAGAATACATTGGGATCTTTGGAAACAGATGGCAATCCCCTATTCCCCACTCTGCTCGACAAGGAGGAGAGTCCCAGAGTGTGGCTGTGCATTCACCTGGTCCCTCCCTGCCGTGACAGCCCTGATTCCAGCTACTAAAGCCACATTTCGGGCCCTGTAGGTATTTTAGGTGCATGTTAGACAAAAATCAGTGCCTTGTGCCCCAGGCTGGGCTGTGGCCAGGCCTGAGGAGCCCGGGAGCAGGAGCATGAGCAGCCCAGGGCAGGTTCCAGCCACCACAGCTTGTGAGGCAGCCAATACTCCTGCCCCTGTTTGCGTGTTCGTTCGGTATCCGTGTGCTCAAACCACCCATGGATGTGGCAGCAGCTGCTCCTCCACGTTCCTTCTTGCCATTTATTTTGTTTTCCCGAGTTATTCTCCAGCCCTGCTCCCCTCCCAGCAGCACGAGGGATGTGGGGATGTGCAGCTGGCACGAAGGGGTTGGAATGGCCCTGCCCCAGCTCTGCGGGCTGGTGGTACAGGGGGTTTAATGTTTCCCTGTGGAACCTCCTGCAACCAGACTGATTTTCCCCATCTGGAGCTGTCTGTTATGGCCTTGTTGGAAGTTTGCCTGGCTGGGAAAGTGAGGGCTTCCCTGGAGGGATCTGCCTGGCGGAGCCCCTCGAGGAACAAAGTGTCTTCAGCGTGGAGGAAAGATCATCCCCTGAGGCTGGGCAGGGAATGAGGAAATTCCCCCAAGGACAGAGGGGGCAGCCCTGTCCAGCAGCCACCGAGGGCAGCAGGTTCCAGGTCACCTGTCTGGGACAGCCCCAGGGAGAGGCCGTGCCCTGGGACAAACCGCTCGCACCACGCCCTGGCCTCTGCAATTAAAGCCCGGACAGAGCGGCTGCTGCAGCTCCCCCTCAGCCTCCCCTTCCTGCAAGCCGAATAAATTGGGGCTGTTGTTCGTGGCTTGGCTCACTTGGCCCACTTACTCTGTACTTTATGGGTTTGCCTGACGAAGGCTCTGGGGTCAGCATTTCTCTCCTTCTCCTCCTCCTCCACCCCAAAGCCTCCGGTTCCGCTTTTCAAGGCAGGGCTGGGATTTATAGGATCTGAAAGTGGTCAGGATCCCAAAGAGGAATCTCACCCAGTGGCCCCAGGGGCTCCCATGGCCCAGAACCCTCCTGGAGTTAAACAGGAGCAAACTGGGGGTGGGTGAGCACCCAGGCACTGCTGGGGTCTGGGGGAGAGGAGCACATGAAAGGATGGATAGATGCAAGAAGTTCTGCTGGTCCAGCTGTCCCTCTCCCCTGCACAGGGACAGAATCACTAATTTTGTTCTGGAAAAGCCCCATTTGGGGGTTTTTAGAGATGCTGGACCTCTCTCAGGTTCTGCTTTTTGGGACCATCCTACAGCCATGCAGCCTGTAGGATGTGGCATTGGGGAGCTAGGTGAGGCTGAGGGCACAGGCACCTGCCTGCTCACCCTCCTGGGGCACGGCACAACACTGCCAGAAGAGGAGTACATGCTAGTCCCCAAAAAATGGGCCAACAAGTCCCCACTGGCCCTGCACAGGGAGGAAAACCCCACAGGTTTTGTCAGGAAAGCGTACTGGTGTGGCAGCAGCCTGCTGGGATCCAGCAGTGGGAAGTGGGACAGGGTAGTGGGGGACTGGGAGCCTCCCAGTGCCCCATGGCCTGTCCCAGGGGGGATGGTGCTGCCAGGCCGGCAGGGCTGGGCCCACCAGCAAATCCCCCTTGGCCTGGGGCCGCGTTTCCCTCCCTTTGTGGGCTCTGGCCAGGCACGGGGGGACCAAGTTCATCCCAAACCACAATTGCCGTCTGTTCCGGCAGCTCCGGCCGCGGCGGATGTGCTGGAAATAACCCTGGTGGGGCCGTGGCCTCCCCCGGCCGGGGCTGCAGCGCCCTATAAATCCACCCGGGGAGCGGGGGCTGCACCGAGCCCGGCGCAGGGAGCCACCATGAAGCCCCTCGTGCTGCTGGCCCTGCTGGCCCTGCTCGCCCTCGGCCTCTGCCGCAGAGGTACCCCCGTGTCCGGGGATGGGGCTGGGGGTGGCCGTGCCCCGGGAAGGGCTCTGCAGGGAGCAAAGGGACCGGGAGAGATTTGCTGAGCCCCGGGGCAGGGGGGGAGGTGGGGCTGGAGCGGGGAGGTGGGGAGCAGGATACCCTTTGACAGATTGGGGGGGGGATCTCAGTGAGGGGTCTGAGCCTCCAAAGGAGGAGCGAGGTGAGGGCCAGAGCCCGCACGGGACCTTCCCGAGCCCACCCGCTGCTCCCTGTCACCCCCAGCTGCCGATCGCTCCACCAGCGCCGACGACTCTCCCAGCTCTGAAGGTGAGTGACCGCGGCCATGCCTGCCCCGCTGTCCCGGGGACGGGGGGGCACAACCCCCCTGACCCACCCCGCTGTCCCCTCAGCTTTCATCTCCAGACGCGCCAGTGCCCAGCTGGTCCAGAGGCAGAAGCGGAATTACGGCTATGGCAGGTACTGCTCGGTCCTGTGACACCGAGGGGGTCCCCTCCCCGGGAGCCTTCAGCCCCCACGGGACCCCCCAGCACTCCCCTGAGTCCCCCGTCTGTCCCCAGCAGCGTCTATGCGGCCCCGCCGGACCCACTGGAGGCGAAGCGCGAGGTGTGCGAGCTCAACCCCGACTGTGACGAGCTGGCCGACCAGGTGGGCTTGCAGGAGGCGTATCGGCGCTACTACGGCTTCGTGTAGCCCCCGCCGCCCCCCCCGGCCGCGCTGCGGGGCAGGGGCTGAGCTCTGAGCACCCCTCACGCCCTGCTTTACACCCTTTCTGTTAGCCCCGGAAAGAAATAAATGCATATCGTGGAGCCGGTTCCTTCCCGGGCTGGGGGTTGGGTGGGTGGGTGGGAGGCTGCAGTGGACGTGCCCCATGTCCCCCCACCCCACATGGATGAGGACCTCTGGCCTCCCTCCCTGTCCCCTCTCAGGCTCTGGCGTGGAGCGATGCCACCACCCCTGGATCGTGTCCCTGGCAATGAGGAGCCAGTGCTGCACCACCATTATTCTGGTTTATTTTAAAGCGTGGAGTTATTGGGGGCAGCAGGACTTTGTGCACCCCAGGCCCTGCACCCTGCCCAGCTACAGGGCTTCTGTCACAAACCACCCTAATTCCTCATTAACCCTGGCACACACACACACGTGCACACACTGCTGTGTCCCCATGAAGGGTGATGTATCATCCCCAAATTCATGGAATCACATCTCGTTTGGGTTGGAAGGGACCTGAAAGCTCACCTTGTTCCACCTCTCCCTGCCATGGGCAGGGACACCTTCCACTAGCCCAGCTTGCTCCATCCTGGCCTTGGACACTCCCAGGGATGGAGCAGCCACAGCTTCTCTGGGCAACCTGCGCCAGGGCCTCCCCACACACCTCCTGCACCCATCTCCCAGTTCATCTCCTGCCACAGCCCTGGGGTCCCGTGGGACAAGACCACCGGCCCACACCCAGCCAGGGCATGGGGAGAACCCCCCCAACCTCTGCTCCCACCACTGCAGCCTCTGCCAGCCCCTCCACACCTTCCCCTGGGCCCGAACCCCTCAGCTCTGCCTCCAGCCCTCGGTGGGGCTGACACCGAGCAGTGGCCGTGCTGCAGCAGGACATGGACACACAGACACATAGACAGACAGACGGATGGACACACAGACACACAGACACGGACACACAGACACACGGACACACAGAGACACAGATACAGACACATGGACACACAGACAGACACGTTTCCGGGGTTTGGCACCCTGGCTTAGGGCCTAAGCAAGGGCAATCACCAAGAGGACCCCACAGCTGAGAAGGAGGAATCCTCCAGCCCCAATTTCCTTACCCCAAACATACCGGGAGCAGCAGAAGAGGCCGGTGCAGACAAAGGAGTTCAAAGCAGCCGTGAGGGACAAAGTATCGCTGCCAGACGCTGCTGACTCAGTGGTTCATCATCGTGGGAGGCTCTGTAGGCAAACACGAGGGGCCTGCAGCTCCCTGCCCCATCCACACCCCTGTGCCACCCCTCTCCACAGAGCTCCCCCAGGCTGGAGGGGCTGAGGGCTCTGCAACTGCAGAAGCAGCAGATGGGGCCAGTGCTGACGAGGAGATGAAGGTGTGGGTGCAGCTGGAGGGGAAGGGATAGAGGCAGAGCAGCAGGTAGATGAGCAGGGGCCAGGGGTGGGGCTCCTGGCAGAGCTCCAAGGAGGGTGAGAGCACCGGGAAGTGCCACACGAAATACCTGTGAGGGCAGAGCATGTTTCGGGCTGAGCTCTGTCACAGTTCCCTCTCCTGTCTCCATCCTCATCCTTGTCGCCATCCCCACCTACAGGTGGGGCAGCCCAAGATCTGCTGTGGGGTTATGGTGGGTGGGGAAACCGAGGCAGGGTGTGCTGGGAGTATCTCCCAGCTGCAGCAAGGCTGGGTGGGGAGTCCAGCCGATTCCCCATCTCGAATGAGGGAACTGAGGAAAGAACCTTGGCTGCAGAGCCCCCGTTCCCGCAGCCACCCCTTGTGGACCCTGAAGATCTGAGGCAGCTTTATCGGCATCTCCCCGGGGCCGCGGCGCTTGGGGCGGGAGGGGCTGCAGGGACAGGACGGACACGCCCTAGAAGGCTCCCGGCTTTTCTCCAGGGTTGTGCCCAGCAAGGTCCACTCTCTGACTCTTTCAGAGAGCCGCGGGCTGGGCAGGATCAAGACCCCACGCCCGGGATACGGGGAGCATGGTGGGGCAGTGGGTGGGTGCTGGCGGCTGTCGGGTGGGCGGCAGGAAAGAACCAGATCCTGCCTCGTCCCCGCGGAGCCCCCCAGGCCTGGGGATGTCCCGGGCAGACGCAGCCTTAGGGCCAAGCCAGCACGGCAGGGACGAGCCCGCTCAGATACCCTGGAGACAGGACCCCCTCCCCGTGCAGGGGGGGTTACCCCGGGGTGCTGCGGGGCTTGGGTGGGGCGCGGGAGCCTCCCCCGCTGGAGGGGCCTTTGCAAAGCGGCTCCGGGCTCCGGATCTTAAATTGCCACCGAACTGGGAGAGCCGGGGCAGGCGACAGAGCCTGCAGGGACCTTCATAAACACCCGGTAGGTCACACCGCTGGGTCTCACCAGAGGAGACCTGGGAGGGGAGAGGTGGAAAAATCAAAAGTCTGGGGAAACAAAGCCGGCCTGGCAGCAGCAAAGGGCTGGCAGCGGCTCTGGCTCGGTCCATGGGGGCGATGCCAGCAGAGGCTCCGCACCGCAGCTGGACGGAGCTGCCGCTCGGGGGGTGGAGGGCCGAGCTGAGCAGCATCAGTGCTTTCCAAGTGCCCTTCCTCGGGGATTTATTGACCCCCGGAGGGTTTGTGTTGAGTGCTGGGCACGGCATGAGCAGCTCGAATCCACCCTGTGCCTGTCCGGACTCCACAGCCAGTCCACACCAGGTCTCTGCTGCTCCAGCAGCCCCAGGGGAAGCTGCTGGTCCCCAGCGGTGTTGGCAGGAGCCCTGTGGGAGGGTTTGGGGTCCCCACACCAGGATGCAGAGCCTGGTGCTGAACAGCCCCTCCAAAATAACCTGCATAAGCACAGCAAACCCAGGCGGGGTTCAGGGCAGGGGAACGACACGTCTTGCCCGAGGAAGGGGGAAGTGGAGGCACAGAGAGGGAGGGGAACGGGCTGTGAGTGGGGCTGGAGAGATGGCAGCTCCTGGGGGTCCCTGAGCACTCAGCTCGAGCAGGACCAGGAGTCCCAGCCCCGGTGTTGTGGTCTTTTCCTGTTTCAATGTCACCCTCAGTCCATTCCCATGCAAAGGGCATGGGGCAAACTCCCATCCATGGTACCCCTGCTGCCCGCAGGGACCGATGACGGAGGCTCAGGGTTTGTTATGGGGCCGGCAGCACGTCCACAGCCCATGCAGGGCCAGGAATGCCGGTGGCCTCTTGGCACGGCCCTCCCGAGCTTGAAGGGGTGTTCCCAGCCCCGCTGGAGGGGACGGAGCCGGCAGTGACAGTCCCTTTGTGCCAGGGCGGTGTTGGGACACAGGGCACGTTTCACCCACAGCCCATTCCCCCACTGGGGACTGAAGCCGGATTTGCCTTTTCACAACCCCCCTCTCTGAGCTTCCCGCCGCTGGCAGCCTCCAAAGAACCGGAGAGGGAGAGGGAATTCCTCCAAAGAACCGGAGAGGGAGAGGGAATTATGCTGGTGCCTGGCTCGGTGCTTCCCCCCAGCAGAGCAAATCGGGGAGCTCTGCTGGTGAGTCACAATGAATGCAGGGAAGGGAACACCGATCCATTTTCCCCCTACAAAACATCCTCCACCTTCCCTTGTCACCAGTGTGCGGTGGGACCCAGCCCACCTTGTGCCCGGTGCCTGGAATGGACACCAAAAAGTTACATATTTTAAAAAATTTACACTTCCCCCCTCCCCTGTTAAAACCGAGCTGTGAAGGTGCCCAGTGAGCCCCAGAGGGTTCTTCTGCTGGGGTTGGAGGTGCTCCTGTGGCAGCTCCTGGGGCAGTGCAGGAAAGGCAGGAGGGTGTGGGAAGGACCACAGGACACGAGGTACAAACATCTGGTACTTTATTAAGCCAGTCAATGTGTTGGGACCACCGTCACATGCCAAGAGCCCCAGCCCCTCCTCGCCCAGCTGGGCCCTGTGCCCCCTCGTCCCCCAGCGAGAGCAAAATCCCCTGGCCCCGCAGGCCCCTGAGCCCCAGGAGGGCTGAGGAGAGATGATTGTCCCTTGCCTCGAACCAACAGTCCCCTCGCTGCCAGTGGTAGGGCCAGCAACACGGCCCCTGTGCCAGCCCGCCCTGTCCCCGCCCCGGCTGGGAAAACACCGACAAGAACCCCAAACTGAAGATGCAAGAGAAAACCCGAGGCACTGCAGGGACCTCGAGCCCAGCAAGGATGGGAGCAGAGGGATGAGCTGCTCTGAACAGCCCATAAAACCACAGAGCAGAAGCCCAACAAGCACCAGTGGGCACGTCCAGCCTGGTGTGGGGACAGCCCAGCCAGCCTCAGCCACCACAGACCTGCGTCCTCCCAGCACGGGGTCACCCCACAAACCCCCAACAGCTCAACTGGGTGGTAACGACGAGAAAACCAAACCCAAGAAACACACAAAAACACATGAAAACCCTTGGTTTTGGCCCACAGGATGGTTTTTCCACTTGCCCTCCTTCCCAGCACAGCGGGCGCTACAGAACTGGCTTGGACCTGGTCTGGGCAAGCCCGGAGTGGGTGCAGGAGCAGCACTGCAGGGATGAGCCGTGGCAGGGCCTGCACAGCCTCCATCCTGCCCGATGCTCTCGCAGCTCACAGCTCTGGCTCAGGCTGGGGGGGTTTGAGGGAGACCCCTCCACAGTGCACAGGAGCCACAGGACAGGTGGAGCCTCCCACAGACCGTCCCATTTGCTTTGCATCAGTGACCACCACCCCAGGGCAGGGACCCCCCTGCCAGCTCAGGGCCCTGCTGGGGTGTGGATGATGCACCCAATCCCAGGAGGAGCAAACAGGCACAGGCCCTCGGACAGAGCAGATCTGTTCGATTTATCCCCAGGGAGGAAATTCCAGCTCATCCCAAGCACTGGGATGGGGGCTAAGAAATGCCTTCCTTTACCCCAACCCTAAAGATGACACATTGAGCCCTCCCAGAAGACCAGGTGTGCCAGAGGACCCCACACTGCTCCAGAGCTTTGGAGTCTCCAGCTTTTCCAGCTCCATGCATCTGAGTGGGAACAGGTATCCCAAAACCATTCCCCAGGTGCTCAACCACAGCCACGCCCTCTGGAGAGGAGGAGGGTGGCACAGGGACCCTTCAGCTGTCCTTTTAAAAGGTCACGATCCCTCCCCCTGCAGC